CTACATGCAACTTGGTTTCTTGTTGTAATTTTGCACTCTTTGGTGTCTTCTTGTGTGTCGGTTACTTCCAGTCCTTCATAATATGCTCATGATCAGGCAGAAGGCGACTTCTTTCAGAACAAAAAATTCTATTCAATGAGGAAAAAATATGCTCAACTGTAGCTGTTGTGACTGGGATTAGCAAGAGATGAATTCCTACTTTCATCCCAGGAAACATAGCACAAAGATTGGGTCAAACCACTAGTAATGATGAAGTTGAAGTCAAATCTTCATTTATTTGTCATTTATGATGTTCCACTCTGTGTTCAAAATTCTCTATTCTGTCCTGATCACATAGCATCCCCATTGCTGGTAATGCCTGAGTCCACTCAACTGTAGGTGTTTTATAAGACAGGCATCTGTAAAAGCTACGTGGAGGTTGAATAGAATCCAGAAATCTCTATTGTGGATTTGTAAGAATCAAGTCTATGTACTTTTTCAGCTGGCATAACAAACAGTTCTCGTCCTCTTCACTTATAGAGTCAATATAAGTACTTTCATTAGTCAACTTCTGGGCTGAAGTCTTTTTGCTTCTTCCAGTACATTTTCAATGGATATCTCTGATTGATCCAAGGATAGCTTCTATTTCTGGACAAAGATCTACTACTGTTGTAGGAGATGCCTGGATCACATTGTTTAATGACCCAAGTGGTTTCAACAGTAGACTTACAAGAGAGAGAATGGTGATAGTCTTCTCTGAACTTAATAACAAAAGTAGTCCACCAGCCTCACTACTTAGATCTGTTCTATCTTGGTGGATACTTTCCAAAGCCAATAATAATGGTTGCAGTAATTTTCAGACAACTGCCAAGAATCACTAATGAGAAAGCCAGCAGGTTTTCCCAAGTTGGACTTATTTGAACTTCAATCCCAGTGTATCTTCTATTTGTTTCCAAAATGTTCAGTCCTTTTGGACTCTTGCTGAAAAAAAAAGAGTATAAAAAAGCCACAAATTTAATTACTTTTTTATGTCTCTTGAAGATTCTGCAGCTTGTACTAGTGCTAGCTGGAGTAGATGGCCTCTACAGTGTGTATAAGAGAGACTAGGGTTACGCTTTTCTCTGAGCAAAGCTTGTCCGCTATGTCTTCCAGAGAAGTTTGTAGCTCCATCGAATGCACAAGCAGACATCTGTTTGGGGTTCAATTTACAAGCATTTAACTCCTCTAAGATGTCACAGATGCCGCGGATGTTCAGCTCTCAGTGGGGGAACCTCGCTGCTAGTGCAGTCTGGGCCGTCTCTTCCACAGAAACACTGTCCCACAGCAGGTCTAAGCACTTAGGCCTGATTATCAGAGATTTCAGCTGTAGTGGTCACTTAACAAACCAAAAGACTATCTGTGGAGCCTAATCAGCTTTGTCTTTAAACAGTGGAGAGGGGCATGTCAAATAGTGCTTGTGACTCAGGCAAACCATCAAGCAAAACACTTGTCCCCACCCTCTCTCTTGGTGCCCTCAATCAGCAGAGGCTGAGTACAGTTCTACTGCCCTTTACTCACACAATAAGAACGACAACATTTCATTCCCCCCTATCACCCCGCATTCAAGTGATTTGTAACCCAGCCCCAGCCAAAATCTATCACTTGGGCAATGTAGCCCTGTTTGCTGGATACCTAGGTAGATTAGGTGTGAATGCAAATACAATCTGGTCCTGAAGCCTTTTCCCCACAGCTCATTGCTAGCTGTCAGGGAGAGCTCATTTTGACTTTGCTTACAAATCATAGTTTGAAATTATTAGGTTGGCCAACATCACCAAAGTGAATGCGCTTGACATTGTCACAAAAAACAAGGGCTGTATAAGGAAGCTAGTCTGTGTTCATACTGTTCAAATCTATTATACTTTTTCATAGAATCATAGAATATAAGGGTTGGAAGGGACCCCAGAAGGTCATCTAGTCCAACCCCCTCTTCGAAGCAGGACCAATTCCCAGTTAAATCATCCCAGCCAGGGCTTTGTCAAGCCTGACCTTAAAAACCTCTAAGGAAGGAGATTCTACCACCTCCCTAGGTAACGCATTCCAGTGTTTCACCACCCTCTTAGTGAAAAAGTTTTTCCTAATATCCAATCTAAACCTCCCCCACTGCAGCTTGAGACCATTACTCCTCGTTCTGTCATCTGCTACCATTGAGAACAGTCTAGAGCCATCCTCTTTGGAACCCCCTTTCAGGTAGTTGAAAGCAGCTATCAAATCCCCCCTCATTCTTCTCTTCTGCAGGCTAAACAATCCCAGCTCCCTCAGCCTCTCCTCATAACTCATGTGTTCCAGACCCCTAATCATTTTTGTTGCCCTTCGCTGGACTCTCTCCAATTTATCCACATCCTTCTTGAAGTGTGGGGCCCAAAACTGGACACAGTACTCCAGATGAGGCCTCACCAATGTCGAATAGAGGGGAACGATGACGTCCCTCGATCTGCTCGCTATGCCCCTACTTATACATCCCAAAATGCCATTGGCCTTCTTGGCAACAAGGGCACACTGCTGACTCATATCCAGCTTCTCGTCCACTGTCACCCCTAGGTCCTTTTCCGCAGAACTGCTGCCTAGCCATTCGGTCCCTAGTCTGTAGCTGTGCATTGGGTTCTTCCGTCCTAAGTGCAGGACCCTGCACTTATCCTTATTGAACCTCATCAGATTTCTTTTGACCCAATCCTCCAATTTGTCTAGGTCCTTCTGTATCCTATCCCTCCCCTCCAGCGTATCTACTACTCCTCCCAGTTTAGTATCATCCGCAAATTTGCTGAGAGTGCAATCCATACCATCCTCCAGATCATTTATGAAGATATTGAACAAAACCGGCCCCAGGACCGACCCTTGGGGCACTCCACTTGATACCGGCTGCCAACTAGACATGGAGCCATTGATAACTACCCGTTGAGCCCGACAATCTAGCCAGCTTTCTACCCACCTTGTAGTGCATTCATCCAGCCCATACTTCCTTAACTTGCTGACAAGAATACTGTATTCTGACAAGAATACTGTATTTCAGATGCATGTATTTTATCATATACTTTATATGCTTTTAAAGTGTGTATTAATGTTCCAGTTTCAATTCAGATTTCCAAACAATCACTAAATTGGCAACACTGCATGTAACTAGTTCACAAAACTGGGGGGGGTGGGGGGGTGTTAGGGAAATCCCTGTTTGTGCGATCCACTAGGTCTGACTCTTGCTCCAGCCACTAATCCAGACCACCTGTGACTCCAACTTGAGAGGTAGAGGAGGGGAATGTTAGTTTGAAGTGTATATTGTTTAATTTGATCTTTTTAATGGCTAATCTTTTGTAATATAGCCAAGTTCCGGATGAATGCCGCAGTGGAGATTATTCATGGGATGTTCTGAATCAGCACAATGCCATTCTCTTTCCTGGGCCAGATCTGCCCACTTTATGGGCTGTTACTCTCTCCTGCCCACAAGCGGGGCTGTTATGATTGATGTATACTATCAAACTCCATTCCTGGTAGATTTTTCTCTAATGGGGAGTTCAGTTAGGTTATATGCTGGTGAAAACCACCGTCCATTCTGGGCTAAATTCAGCTCAACATCTTTATAACAGTTGAAGTGTTCTTTTTCTAACTTGGCTATTTTAAACACATGAAATATTACAGTCCAGATGTTGCTGCTTTTGTGCTTTAGAAAAGTGCTAAGAATGAATCTCTGATCTCATAGATAGGCACAAGTTAATAGAAAATAAATAGAAATACAATTTAAATAGGATGTAAATTAAGCAGATCTGAGTTAAAAATAGTCATTTTGGTTATGCATTCCTTAGTTATGATCACTTGAATATGCAGGTATTAAATTATTGTGAGTATGGCTCCGGATTTTTTCCTCTTTTCAATAGAAACATTGAGAACACTGACTAACAGATACAAATGTCAAGTAATATGTATTCCCTAGGTTACAGCAGATATTATGTGAATGCAAAATGTAATGCTAATCAGATGTTATTCATGATGTGTTTTACTTCTACAATAAAAGAATGAAAACAGCAACAAGAATTTTACTGGTATATTTTTCCATAAATAGGGCACTTTCGATTAAATAATTTTTGATGTGATTTACAGTAACCAGATTTATGCAAAAAATACAAAAAAGTTTACAATTTCAGTACTTCATATATTAACCTGGCGATACCTCAGATTCTACAACAGGTAACGTCAAGCTAGAAAGAGAGCATTATCATTGTGAATTTGGCCTGATGTAAAATAAAATTGTATTTAGCTTGCTGTCATGTGTTCTGGAAATTATTACCTTTACCTACCAAAATGTTCTGATATAAAAAATAAGAGATGCATTGTTTTAATTGCATGCTAAATCTTTTGTTGCCTTTGATCTTTGCATCAAATTTGACTAAACAGTAGAGTACTTACAGTAGGGAATATAAATTTGTGGCTTTTTTATCTTGACTTTTTCAACAGAACTTAATTAGAAGTTACATCAGCAACTTAGTTAGTGTTGTATCATTTCTTGACATTTCAGAGTATTGGTTGTTTTATTAATTCCACATCATGTTTGTTTTCTGTGAGGTGCAGTCAGCAGACTAAGCTGACCAGCATATGTTTGTGAATGTTTTTTTACAGTTGTTCATTATAAATTAAAAATCTATTGGGAGCTAGTCTCTAGTTGCATAACCCCGAGCAAGCAGAATGTCTACTAACGGGATACAAAGCAATGCTTTGTCTCTTAGTTCTGTCTGGGTTTCTTAAAGCATAGTTACTGGAACAATTTTTAGAATGAGGGTGCTGAAAGCCATTAAAACAAACCTGTAAACCCTGTCAATGACGGAAACCACTTCAAACCAGGGAGTGCTGCCGCTCCCCCAGCACTCCTAGTTCCAGCACCTTTCGTCTTAAAGCACTTTTTTTTTTACTTTGAGATCTCATGTTTATTCTGGTCTGCGTTAGTCTGTATTAACAGATTCCTAAATCATGCTGTAATTTCAATGTGTGTCCTTCTACAGGTTGTTAAGTGTGCTGTGCTGTGATCTAGATACACTTCTACTTTTAGAGTCTCAATATAAAGTATCACAAGTGCTTCTAAATGCCCAGAAGGAGAACATCATAGAAACTTCTGAAGGACCTGGGTAAGAAATGATCAATATAAACATTTGAATAGCTTTATTCATATAAATACGCCTATTGAAATAAACTAGACTCCTAACATATGTAAAATTATTTAAATGCATGCTTGCAAGATTGAGGCCTTAATCTTTAATAATAAAAAAATGCAAAATTAACAAACTGAAAAAAAAAAGAGAAATATTTTGTCTTTAGTGTCTTTAATATACAGTAATCCTAAAGGCTACTTGTAATAATAGTAGGCACAACATTTTCAGATGTAAATGTGATGGTCGAGTTGTGTTATTAAAGGACCCTTATAAAGGTCTGATGTACAAATAAATATACCTTGAATTTTCCTCTTTGTAACCTCAGCTCTCTCTCTTCCTCTTATGACTTCTAATTGCTAATTACAAAAGTAAAATTATCTTGTGTAAATAGACCACGTTCTCCTTAAAGAGGCCTGCAGTGCAGCTCCACACAGCATAGCGTGAAATTAGAAGTCAGTTTGTTCTTTAGCTCTCTCAGTATGTTGCACATTAAGAACTTGTCACAGTGTTTACAAATGTGATCGGTATAGAGCTGAGACTCTAATAGTACAGCCTAGATCCTCAACTGGTGTATATTGCTGATTTATACCAAGTGAGGATTGGGCCCATTATCTTTCTAAATAATGGCTACACACTGTTCTTATAGCAGACTCTGTATATGAAAAGTGAAAGTGCTTTTCCTTCCTAAAACAAATTTACTTTGGGTTAGATTGTGACTTTAGGCACAGTCTTGAGCAAGGAGTGACATGTAAGCTCTGAATCACTATGCCCTCCACACTTTTCTTTGCTCCTGGAGTAGTAATTTGCTTCTGGCCTATGTCAGCAGCAAATTTTAAACCCCCCAGTTGGGCTCAGGTGCTCTAGCCACTGAATTAGCAGGTGTAACTAAGTGTCCCCCAAATTCTCCATCCCAACCCACCCACTTCTCATCTGCCTCAGGTGGGAAGTAGGCATGCAGAGCCTACTTATTGCTACATACCCAAGACCCCAGGTTCCTTTAGCCATCTTAGGGATGTGAGAGTTGTTTCTACTGCCCAGTAGCTGAAAGCCCATGCTGTGGCACGGGTGTAATTCGTGAAGTCAGAATGACTTTGCTACTCAGGTTTATGGTTTTATGGTAAGTATGTCTGAGGGCTGGGGAATGTGTGTTGGCTGGTGGTTTTCTGCTGATTTTTGTGGGTGGTGAAAGAGAATTGTGTGCACTGCAGGGTGGGGTGTACAGTGCAGTTCTATGTGTGTTTGGTGTTATCCTGTGTGCTGGTTGTGTTGATTTGTCTCTGGAGGGCTGTGCTGGGAGATTTGTGTTGATGTGTATGAGTTGCAAATGAGGGGTGTATACTGTCATGAGGGGTTATGTGTGTTTGGGGTTATAGTGAATGCTGGTTTTGTTGTGTGGGTGGGTGCTTTACGTGTGGCAGTTGGGACAAGTAATCCACCATCTGTGCAATCTCCCACATACAGCCAATGAAATTGTTGCATGCAAATTAGCTTTAAGGTGGTGATTTATTGAGTTACCTCTGATATCACAATGATCTGGGACTCTTGGCAAGGAATAGATACATACCTTTCTGTCACGTAAGTATAATTCATAAAGTCAAAATGGCTGAGAACTTTAAAAAAAAAAAAAGACATGAACTGCAGAGCCCAGCGATGATTGAACCTTAGGATATTCTGAACAAAAAGAGCTCTCAACCATGCTTATAGCTGATGCTTCAGTCTGACTCAACAGACATTCTAGGCTTAGAGTGATGATCCTGGAATCTTATTATGTAGATTTTTCCTTACACAAGTATGTAGTCCTAGTTACAATCTAGCTCTATAATTATAGTGAGTCCCTAGAATTATTAGCATCCTTGCATATTTTCTAAGAGCAGCACTCAATGGTAAATCAAGTTTGTCTTGTTTTTTCAGAAATTTTATAATTGATGGTCTATCGGTAGAGAGAAACCATGTTCTTGTTAGGATAAATCTTACAGGAGGACCAGTGGAACGGATTTTGCCTCAAAGAGTACTAAATAAGGTTAGAGGGAAAAGTTTAACAATTGTTCTTGTGCTGGTTCTAGGTCTTAAGTATTCCTACTGCTAATTCACAATATAAATATTATTTAGTATCAAAAGACAACTGTCTGCACATCAAGAGTGTTAACGTTTTCCATTGCAGGAAAAGAGATTTGCTTAGCAAAGATGTTATTTCTAGTGTCAGTGGGCTACTAAGTGCTCAGGTAATATTTTTTTTTTTTTAATTAAAAATCTGTTTCTCTAACTGTGGGAGTGATATTTTTAAATTCTTTAATAGATTTCTATCTGTAACATCTTCCTTTTATCAGATGTTTTTTTACCTATGGGCATAGTTTGGGAGGGACATGGGGGGTGCGTTCTCCCCGAAACTGCAAGTCTTGGGCAGGTACGTAATTTGCCCCCCATGCGAGGCCCCGTTGGCCAAGCTGGAACTGCCATGTCAAATATATGCCTATGATTTTACCCTGCTTGCTTTTCATCTGCGCTATCAAATACTTGTATCTCTCATCAGTATTCTCACAGTGCAGTATTTGTTAAGCAGGTTCTTTTGTTAAGTGCTATGGTTTTCTACTCACTGTCACTCATAAGGAGAAGATGGAAATTACTGTCAGCACAGAAAAGACAACTAGATCAATATATAAAATTGGAAATACAGTATTTCTTTTGAAAGCTATAATTTTCCTTTCAATGAAAAAATATTAAATTCAAAATTGTTAACAGTAATTACCAGAGCAAGTTGGTTAAACCTTCTGGCTCATATACGTACTGGATTTTGTATTACTTTTTCTTTTAATTATAGAAAATTATACAATTAAATTGTAGTGTCAATAATTCTGACAAATCTGTTGGAGATTAATTATACAATAAGCAAACTTTACCTGTGGACGAGTTGAGTAAACTGCTATTAATTTACCTCCTAATATCACTTTGTTCTGGTTCTTTTTTCTAGGGCACTGATCCATATCCCTGGCCAATGTTTTCATCCTACCCCTTGCCAAGGTGCTATCTTTCGGAAGCTCCTAGGAAAGCTGATTTTAGACAAGGTACTAAATATATTAATAGTTCAGATGCCAAACAAACATCTTATGTCAGTTTATTTTCATTCTTTTCTCAGAATGAAATTTTATAAATAACCTGGAATTTATATTTTTGGAACCATTTGTGGCCAAATGGGTTAATTTTTTTTTAGTTGTGTTGCTCTGTTTAGTAATCCATTTCTTGTGCGAATGTCAAGATTACCCTTTTGGCTAATCTCATGTGGGAGACACATGAGACATAAACATATCATCTTGTCTGGCAGCTGGAGTAAAACAATATGCTTAAGCTATAGGATTTCTTGTGTACTGTTTTTTTTATTTAGGTCTCTGTTTTCAGAGCTTGGTAGTGTGTGAAATAGACAGTGTTTATAACAGTTGTTTCTTGCATTGAGAATCAGTGTGGAATATATGCAAAGTGAGTAGTCTGTTGTAGATTCATCTAGACAAAGTATATACAGAAACCATTTTAAGGTTTTATATTGAGCACACAGTACAGTAGAACTTGGTGAATGAAAAAGTGACGCATCAAAGAGTGGGGGTCAGCTTATAAATGGGTCTACACCAAAATTTGATGATTTTAAACTCTATGAAATTATTGAATTGAATATCTAATACATTGTCATTTTGTTTACCTGGAGCATCTGCAAGCATGGAGTCCCTCAGTTCCCTGTGGCCGCTGTTCACCGTTCCCAGCCAATGGGAGCTGTGGGAACTGATGCGCCACTTCCCGCAGCTCCCATTGGCTGGGAACGGCGAGACGCTCCAGGTAAACAAAACATCCTGACCCATCGGCGGCTTACCCTGACAGGCCGGGAGCCAAAGTTTGCCGACCCATTTATTGATGTCAATACTGCAGCCTTTTAAAGTTGCAAAGGCTTTGTTTAGTGGACTAGATTGGTTTGAAAGGAATACTAAAAGAGCAGTGCTGCAGATCTGCATAACATTTGACCCATGCATTTTACAAAATGCTATGCCTTACAAGCCAATCAGAAAAATACAATGAATGATAGTACTATAGCACCGCTACTGTGTAATTTGATCTCTTCATGCGTTTCTACCAATGGACCTCATAAGTCTTGAGCCAATGTGAAAATATAACATGCAGAATCGATGGAATCGCTAATAAAATTGAAATAGCCTGTTATCCCCACAGACATGCCAATCTACAGGGCTGCTTTGAAATAAACAAAGAACAATAATAATTTGACAGTGATAAAGAAGGTGACATTCCTATATAAAGTCCTACAAAATCTATAACTACAATAATAATAATCTATTTTCATACTAGTATTTAAAATGAACAACGGTGAAATCAAAAGAAAAAGGTCTGCTTATCACGCAGCATTCAAACTTAAAGTTGTTGAATATGCAGAAGCAAACAACAATTGTGCTGCTGCTGCTGCTGCTCGTGAATTCTGTATCAATGAGAAGCAAATAAGAGAATGTCGAAAAAATAAAACAACACTAAAAGACATGCCAAGGAGGAAGAAAAAAATGTCCAACGAGGTGCACTTCGTTTCCTGAGCTGGAGAAAGATCTCAGTAATTGGGTTGTTGAATGTCAACAAAATGGGTACATTGTCACTAGCACTGGAATTCATCTGCGTGCTCTGCAAATGTCGAAAGATGACAAATACGAGTCAGTAAAGCCATCAGTGTTTGTCGTATCAGCAGGTTGGTGTACTTGCTTCATGAACCGTCATAGTCTCTGTCTTCTTCAGTGAACAAAGATAGAGCAAAAGCTGCTAAGAGATCTGGAAGAAAAAATCGAATCTTTCCAAAGGTTTATTATAAAATATCGAAAGGAATATGCATTTGAACTGTCACAAATAGGAAATATGGATGAAACACCGATTACATTCGATCTTCCGAGCAACAGAACAGTAACTGGTGTTGGTGAAAAAACAGTTTTAATTAAAACCACTGGCCACGAAAAAATCCATTTTACGGTGGTTTTATCGTGTTTGGCAAATGGATCAAAGCTCCCTCCTGTTGTTGTTTTTAAAAGAAAAACCTTGCCTAAAAACATGAAATTTCCTGCTGGTGCACACGAAAAGGGGTGGATGGATGAAAGTCGGACTATTGAATGGCTGGAAAAAGTGTGGAATAAGAGACCAGGAGCACTTTTCAAGAAACCTGCTATGATCATTTGAGACCTGTTCAGGGCACACAAGACGGATGAGGTGAAAAATGTGGCCAAAAATATGAAAACTGCTTTGGCTGTAATACCTGGAGGCTTAACTTCAGTTCTACAACCGCTTGATGTCTGCCTGAACAAACCCTTTAAAGACAGGCTACGCAAAATGTGATCTGAATGGATGTGCTCAGGCATGGTGAAGTTGACAAAAGGCGGGAATCTTATAAAGCCCGAAATCAGTCTGGTTGCCCAGTGGATCAAGGACGTGTGGGTGTCCATTCCCTCTAAAATGATAAGAAAAATCATTTAGGAAATGCTGTATCAGCAATGCACTTGACAGATCAGAAGTTGATGCCATATTTGATAATGACACAACAGAGGCTGATGATGAGAAGGAATCTGAGTCTGAAGATGAAACTGCCGACATCTCCGGTGACAGTGCAGGTGCAGCTGTGACTGAAGTTGAGTTTTATGAACTATTTGGTGAATCAGAGACTGATTCAGACTTTGAAGGATTTTAAGACTTTTTAAAGTCTCATATTGTTCTAAGTTACTTGTTTTAAATATCGATTTACTGGGTTTAAATATTGACTGTAATTTTGAAGGTGAATACATATTTGTTCAGTTATTATTATAACAACAACAGGTTTTTCTTTAGATTACATTAAAATAATTCTAGCAAAACTTTTGAGTGTTTCGTGTGACGCCAGCTTTTAAAATATAGTAGGGGTTGGCAAACTTTGGCTCCCAGCCCATCAGGGTAAGCCGCTGGTGGGTTGGGACGTTTTGTTTACATGGAGCATCTGCAGGCACAGAGCCCCCTCAGCTCCGAGTGGCCACGGTTTGCCATTCGCAGCCAATGGGAGCTGTGGGAAGTGGCGCCATTTCCTGAAGCTCTCATTGGCTGGGAACAGCAAACCGCGGCCACTGAGAGCTGAGGGGCTCTGTGCCTGTGAACGCTCCAGAAAAACGAAACGTCCCGACCTGCCAGCAGCTTACTCTGATGGGCCGGGAGCCAAAGTTTGCCAACCTCTGAAATATAGGGTCAGCTTATGAAAGGGTCATACAGTTTTTACTATTTTTACCTATCCATCTTGAGGGGTCAGCTTATAAACGAACAGTCTAATGAACGATATATATACGGTAATTTCTCATGTGGAATTTGCCTGTTCGTTTGTCTGTGAGCAGATCTCAACATACTCCGATGTATTCATGATGAGAAATTATTTGTAAATTTATTCAGCAAATAATTCTTTCTCTCTTGGTTATTCATAAATATTCAAATTGTGAATACTCAGAAATTAGACTAAGCAAAATAATTGCACAACTCACATGGTATAGGTTTCTTCCCTTGATTTTATGGCTTATGATACATAACTAACACTGATGGGAATTCTAATATATAAAAGTGTAGAATTCCTTTCGGCTAAAATGGGAAGAGGTGGCCATGGATACTGCTTTCTTCATTTCCTGACCTGAGATTTTGTTATAGCAGAAGTTGGCTTTTGGAAACCATAGTCTGCAGCTGTGCAACCCCCACCCCTCTTCATTCCTCCCCAATCTAGGAAATGTAGGAGTTGATAAGAATCTCAATTTTGTATTTTTAAGATCGATTCTAGCACCACCCCCTTTTTTATTATGTTCGCTTTGAAAACATAAACTGATGTAAGCCAGTTTCTAAGCTTGAAACAAAAATAGGTTATATTTATGGAGTGGGTGTTGGAAATGGCAAACATTTGTTTTGCAAGTGTTCTTCTTTAGACAGGGTCGTCTTCTCTCCAGCTCATGAGCTGGTGGACAAAGATTACTATGATAGCAGATCCACTTCTCCCCTTTCTCTAGCTTGAGGTCAAATGGAAGAGTCCTTGATGAGCACAAATTAGAACTGACCAGCAAATATTTTGGGCCCAATCTGGATTTTAAGAAGAGTAGGAACTTTGTCTCTGTAAATACTGTGACGGGTTCCGCCTCCAGGGGTGCCTCCTGGAACTGGGATACCACTGAGCCCACCTAACCCGCCAGCCTAGGCTCCATTTACACTGCTCTGCTGTGCAGCCTGCCAAGCCCTCCCCCAGGCATCACACTACACTTTACCAGCTCACAAAAGGTAGGGGCACACCAAGCTGCAGCTACACACACAGAGGCTGAAATCAGCTTTGCATGGGAAGGCTCAGCTAAGGTACCTCCCAGTTCCTAAGGCACACACTCCCCTCTGGAGTGTAAACCCAAAATTATACCGTCTTGTGCTGCACAGAGAACTGTACAGAGTAAGCTTACGAAATTTGCCCCCTCCATCAATGTGGAGAGGAATATACACAGCTTTCTGCCCCAAGTTATGATTTCCACAGGCTGATTTTAGACAAAATAAAACAAGTTTATTACCTACAAAAGATAGATTTTAAGTGATTATAAGGCAGTGGTGCGCAATCTGCAGCCCATCAGGGTAATCCGCTGGCAGGCCTCGAGACAGTGTTTACATTGACCGTCCTCACCTGCAGCTCCCAGTGGCGGCGGTTTGGCCTGATTCAGCAAGAAGCGGGCCTCCTGCTGTGAAGTCCAACTCTGGTGTGGGAGAAATACCCCATAGACCACAAGGTGGGGTCTTGTTGAGAAGCTAGAAAACACTCTCATAACCATGAATTTTCCTCTAAATCCACTTCAAAGAAATTGGACTCATCTGTAAAAAAGCCCACCAAAAAGCCCACATACTACGTTCCGGATGCATGACCAGAAAGCACAAGCCCATGTTCTGTCAGTACTGTTATCCCCAGCTCCTCCCAAACCCCAGGATCCGTCAGCACCAACGGATTCCAATCACTGCCAACTTCAGATACCACCCTTCTTGCCGGCTCCAATGGTCTGGACAAGCA